ATTTCCGACCCGGACAATTTTAGGGGTCTACATTTATGTATATGTTGTTTAACTAATTGTGGCTCAATATATAAATCATTTGAAGCTCTTGGTTCTTTTTCCTACAAACAATGTTGCAATCTGGTTTTGTTCTTTGCATCGTAAGCCTAATGTACAATTCAAAAATTTAATAAAAAAGGTAAACTTTAATTTGTAACACTTATTAACTTATGCTCTCTATTAGAAATTTTAATCATGTAACTTATCTGGATTTATTTTCTTTAGTGTTATGGTTGTGTCTAATGTTATGAGTGGTAGATCTACAGCACAACCAAAGAACCTAGATTGGATTTACCCCATGGTAAGTGGTTTGTTACCTCAATATACCTAAAAATTTACTTTTATTAGCTTAATTAAAATATTATTTATACAACTCAAATTGATATTCGTTTTAGAGTAATATGCAACAAGGACATTATGAATGTGGATACTACGTGATGAATTGGATGTTATACATAATTGAAGGGGAAGTAACAACTGATTGGATCGAGGTAATATAATTCTTTTATTTTTAACAATATTGATTAATTTCTTTTAATGATTATGATGTAACTAATATCATGATGTATGTTACATCTTTTTGACGATGTTGAACCATTGCCAGAAACAAAATTGGAAGAAATTCGGAGTCAACGGACAAAGTTCTTTTTAGAAAAATTTACAAATAGATCATGATTTTTTACGATGTTGCATTTTGGTTTCCGGTTACGTGGAGGGTTAGATCACATTTTAGTTTTTTTTTTTTCTGGTTGATTTGGTGTTGTATTGCTATACATATTCATTATTATGTTTGTACTATATCAAATTTTAGTTTCTATTTTATGTTTGTTCTATTAACTGGTTGATGTTGGATGATTGGAGAAATTGGCTACATTTAGGGCTAGAATTATTGTTGCTCTTATTTTTTTAAAATTACAATAGTATAAAAGAATGACGGTGATCACATAAAAGAATGACAGCGATCATATAAATTTTAGGACCAGAATTATTGTTGGATATATTGTTGATTTAGGTGAAGACAACAAATAGCTTATAATAGCTGCCTAGGAACAAATACCATGCCATAGTGGGTTGTTTCATGCTTTAATATGGTTTGTTATTGTGATTTTGGTGGACAAGTTTTATAGCCTTGATTTTCAGGATTTTTCTTAATTAGTTGTAGATGAAAATTAAAATTAATTACATATGCCATATAGTGTATTTTTTGTGTAAGTGAATTTATTCTTTTTGTCTATTTTGATTTGTTTGTGGTTTTTGTTTAATCTTTTAATTTCATGCACATTTTAAAAAATCTGGCAGAGAATTATATATGTGTTTATTACAGGTTAAATTAGAAAGAAACCTAAAATCAAATAAATTTTTCAAAAAAAAAATAATAATTTACATCGGTTCAGAGATGAACAGATGTAAATGAGGGTCTAATTTTACATCGATTATGCAAAAAATTGATGTAGAATTTGTATATAAATTTATATCGATTATGATAAGAACCGATGTAGATTGGTGTACAAATTTACATCGGTTATAATAAGACCCGATATAGATTGGCGTACAAATTTACATCGGTTATACAAAGAACCGATGTAGATTTTATGACTATTCAACATCGGTTTTAAAACTGACGCAAATTGATTCTACATCGGTTTTAGAACCGATGTAGATAGTATTAAAGAACCGATGTAGATAACGTATCTTGTGGTAGTGCCAATGTCTTATCTTATACTAAATATTTCGTATTAAAGATAAATTATAGAATTATTATTTTATTGTGATACTTTTTAAGCAAGAAAGGTATGATTCTTATTATTCTCAAATTAACAATTAAATTTTACTTTAATAAAATTTGAGGATCAATTTTGTTTTTAAAACATAAAACATAATATTGAAATATAATAAAACATCTCTCTCATTAGAATTGCTTATCTTAAATTTTAAAAAATGGAATTTCTTTTCTCTTATTATAATATTTAATTTACATAATTTAGTTTTCACGTCATGTAGTTAAATATTATTAGTCTTTTAATTTTTTATTAAATTTAATATATACTAGATTTAAAAATACAATTTAATTTTTATATTTAGTCCCTTGATGAGAATGTTCTAGACCTATTTGGGCCTCTACGAATGATGGATAGAAGCGTGCGGGAAAGTAAAATATGGTTACAACAGTTAAGAAAAGAAAAAAAGGGGGCGTGAATCGCTACGAATCCTACGTTGAAGATGGCATCCAGGAACCACCCACTTGTGTGTTAAAGGTGGCGACATTTAAAATGGGAAAGGATTGGTTATGAGTTGAAAGGTGGGAAGGACAAAGATAGTTGTTTTGTGTTTGTGATCGTATCGCGTGGTGGTAGCGGCAGTGGTGGTGGTGGCAATGGCATACAGGAGAAAACATGGCATGTCCAGGGCTTCCACCTTCAAGGAAGAGATTCATCAAGATGAAAATGGCAATGCCAATGATCCTCCTCCTCCATCTTTGTCCTCTTCCTTTTCTTTCAAGAACCCCTCTTCCTCATCCTCATCTTCCCTTGCTGCTCAGGCCATCAAAGCCTCTGCTGTTCGTCGTGATCCCTCTCTTTCCTTCACTTTTGCCAAACCTCAATTTGATCAACATCATAGATCCAAGGTAATTATTATGTGTTTCTGCATCACTTATAATTTAAATGTAATTCATTTATATCTTTTTATCTTTCTTAATTTATATCGCATCATAAATCAACCATATTTATATCTTTTTATCTTTCTTTATATCGCATCATAAATCAACCATATATACATATTTCTCTATTTTTCTATTTCTAAATGTAAACTATCATGACAATTCTCATGTATCAATTTACAATATATATCGCATCATAAATCAACCATATATATATATTTCTCTATTTTTCTATTTCTAAATGTAAACTATCATGACAATTCTCATGTATCAATTTACAATATTTTTTTATAAGCTTTAAGAGATCATAAAAAAAATTTGTAGTAATTTGGATTCATTTAAAAAAAAAATGGGAGGACTATATGATCCATCCAACTCTCCTGTCCTCCGCTCCGGCAAGTGTTATTAATTTTTTTCATTTTCCCCTCTCCCCTAATAATTTTTTCTACTCTACGCACCTTCATGTAACATTGTATGCATCAGATTGTCATGCCAGAAAATTTGATAGTGAATATATTTGCATGCATGCCATGCAGAGTTGTGATAGTTACGGGGATGTTTCCAAGACTGGTGTGTGGGGCGTCCTCGCTAAGAAAGCCAAAGAAATTCTGGAGGAAGATAAGTCATCCCCACAACACAATGACGTCATGTCCAAGTCACACTCTCTTGCCGTCTTTTCTCGTGTTGCTCGTGCCCAGGTGCGTGATCATTATAAGTGTAAATATCTTGTTACATGATGGCGCAAAAATGAAGTTAATTCTTGAATATTGAATAATGAATATAATTGTTGAATGGCGTGTCAGGAGGGTGTGGATAAGACAGCAGTTCTGAGAACTCCAATAAAGCTAAAAGGAATTTCTCCAGAGGACTCAGGAACGTGGAATCCATGGCAGCAACCAGCCCAGACAGGAGACCCACAAACTATCCATGAAACACAACTCAAGGCATCTCGCGACGTAAGGTGGCTCTAGCAACTATGTTGTAATTATTTGTGTGTGTCTGCATGCACTCAAACAATGAAATTAATGAATATTGTCTTCCTTCAATTTTTATTTCATCGTTATGTCAAATGATGGATATATATATTTGCACAATTTTGAAGAAAGCCAGTTTATTTTGCTTTGGTTGGGCGACATGCAGGTCGCAATGGCAACAGCTGCCAAAGCAAAATTGCTTCTACGGGAGCTGAAAACCGTTAAAGCAGATTTGGCTTTTTCTAAAGCACGTTGTGCTCAACTAGAAGAAGAAAACAAACTACTACGGGACCGCGAGGGTAGCGATAAGGGGCAAAACGTTATCCGTGCAGATGATGATTTGGTTGGTATTCATTATTACTTATTTAAGTTTGCTACTTCAGAGTCATAGGATATTTTATATTTGTTTTAACCATGCAGTATGTGATATTATTTAGTTTCCAGACTCTAGTTTTATTGATTTTGTTAGTTTATGAATTATCAAATAGTAAAAACTTATTTGATTGGTAGAAAGAATGTGGAGGCAAATTTATAATGATAGGCTTTGTTGAGAAGAAACTAGCTTAGAGAGGAATAGTAGAATAAATTTGAGTAGTGGAAATGACTTACTAGTTGCTTGAATGTAAACGTTGAGTACATGACTTATTTATAGGCCTCAACACCATCATTCATGTTTTATGTAGAAGATTCTAAAGATATCTATTCTAGAGTTTTCTATCTATATATAATTGTCTACATAATTCTAGAATTTGTATTATCTAGTAGTTACTAGTATACATCTATGTATTTTTTAAAATGATATAGCTTATTCTAGAAGTTTGTATCACATTTTAACAAAAAATTTTATCACTCAGTTCTGTTTTATCTATTTATTTTTACCAACAAGTGGTGATGATAGAAACAAATTAAAGCTAACTTGATACTATTGTGTTGGATGCAGATCCGGCTTCAACTAGAGACACTTCTTGCTGAGAAGGGTCGGTTAGCTAGTGAGAATGAGGTATATGCCCGGGAGAATCGTTTTCTGAGGGAAATTGTGGACTACCATCAGTTAACTACGCAGGATGTGGTGTATCTCGATGAAGGCATGGAAGAAGTGACAGAACTTTATACCACTAGCACTGGCACTGCGGTTCCCCGTGTGCCACCTAAGTCACCATGCTCACCATTAAGTCGAGGGTCGCAGACAAAAACAATATATTCTGTCTCACAACAACAACAAGATCAAGAAGATAAGAATACGTCGGAATTATTAGATCAAGCTCCTCCTAAAAAGCATGCAAAGTGAAACTCATGATCCTTGCTTTTATATATGTGTAGTTTGGTTTAGCCTTAGATGGGTTTCTCATTCGTGGAACATACATATGCATAATTCATATTATATATATGCATGCAGTACTTGTAACATTATTTATTCGCATACATGGTACCGAAGGGAAAATTAAGGTAGGAGCGGTGGGGGTTAGTGTTGTGTTCCCCCCAAAACAAAAACCAACGCACTTGTTAATTGACTCTGTATCTATATATTTATATGTATGTAACTTGCCCGCCCAGGTTTTGGGTTAGTTTGGAAAATTCTTCTCTCTTTTTTATTTTGTTTTTTATGAGCAACACAAAATTTTATTTTGTTTATTTTTTAGACTTAAATGACTTTTTCCGGGAAAATATGGATTTTTTCTTTTAGTCTTTTTAATTTTTTCTTCAAATTAATTCCTGCAATTTTTTTTCATTATGGTGTTAGCTATTAAATCCAATGGACAAAAGAGAAAAAATTATATAGGAACCGAAAGAAAAAGGTTGAGAAATTATAGGATCAAAATTTGAAAGGACTATAGCGAAAAATAACTAACATTTAAGAGGATCAAAATATAAATATTTAAAAGTTGAAAGGACTAAAATGAAGATAACTAAAATTAAGGGGATTAAAATGAAATCAACCTTATTTTATAGGAATTATACATCTATTTGAATCAAATTTATAAAATTTTAACATTTAAATGCCATCATGTAGAGTAAAATAATAAATAAACCTATGGTGAATGCATTAATGACTAAGAAAAACATTATAAAAAGTATTCTCACTAGAAGTTGGTCTAAGGATGACTTCCTTTGTTAGAATGGTGGATCTCCTTTGCTCGTGCGTGTAGACACCTATTTTTGTCTGGGGGCATACAAACAAGGGAATGGACCTCTGTTACGAAGGAAAAGAGCTCCGAAGCATGTAAACAACAAGATAGGACTTTAGAAGGCCCAAAAGCCCAAATAAGCTAATTTTAGAAGACTGGAACGGGCTGTTCCAAACCCGGAACAGGCCGTTCCCAATTTGGAACGGGCCGTTCCAAGTTCCTAAAAGAGCCAATAACCCTAATTTAGAACGGGCTGTTCCTAAATTGGAACGCGCCGTTCCAAGATTGGAATGGACCGTTCCAAGATTGGAACAGGCCGTTCCAACCTCCTCAAAAAAGGGTTAAAATCTTAATTGGAACGGACCGTTCCAAAACTAGAACGGGCCGTTCCAAGTTAATAAAATGGCCTAAAAATCCTCGATTGGAACGCCCGTTCCAGTCCAACAATTTGTGTGTTAATCTTATCTCTGGAACGGGCCGTTCCAATTTCATAACGGGCCGTTCCAGTTATGAAATTTATACATAACGGCCAGATCCAAAACGGGCCGTTCCAATTTTGGAACGGGCCGTTCTGGACCCTTTCTGAAGTCTATAAATAGACTGCTTGGACTCATTTCTCAGGACTCCAAAATTTCGTCCAGACTCCTTAGAGCTCAAAATTTCTCTCTTTTTCTCTCTCCCTCTCTTTTGTATTTCTTGAGATTTTGTGAGGCATTGTAGTGTGAAGGGTTGTCATAAAGCACCTAAAATATTCCTGTTTTGAAGATCAAATAGAGCTCATTTAAGAGGTATTTCAGTTAATTTCTTTCTCTCTTATTTATTTTTTATTTACAACAATTATTGTTGTAATAAAAACAATCATGTAGACATTTTAGGGATAATTGTATAATTTAAATTTCAAGCATGTAAATAATTATTAACAAAAAGGGATTTAATATTTCTATTATTATCTTTTATAATGTTAACTTCATCATAGGGTACCAATTGAGGGCGTTGTGGAGGTGCTTAATACCTTCCTTACACGTAACCGACCCCCGAACCCAATTCTAGCTATCAAGGCCATTATTGGATTCTGTTTTAAAAAACCTTTTCTTTTTCCAATGTTTTGAGTAAAACATTGGTGGCGACTCCATGAACCATTTTTCAAAACCATTAATTAAGGATTAGTTTGGTGTCCGGGCATTCCTTGATTAATGAGAGTTTTAAAAGGATCGATGTATAAACCATTAGTCGCGAGATTGGAAATTTTTGGGTTGCGACAGTGTGGGTAGGATGTTCTGAGGTGGGGTTGGTACTTGCAAAAAAAACTTCGATGCTTAAGTTAGTCCTTGATGGTATAGATGTCTCTCATATGTAGGCAGTATGCGTACCTTGGTGATTTTAGGATTATCATTATTTACCGGTTTCATGATAATTGTGCTCAGGTGCATAGATTGTATCTTATCTTTCCAAGGTGGTTGATAGGTGATGTGGTCTTTATAAGCCGATATGAGTCGATGTGACTTTCTGATAACCTTGACTGTTGGCCGAGTTTGATCAAGCTTACTAACCCAACCAGGATGGTACACTAGCCCCTCGAGCTCCAAATAATGTAAGAATGAAGGAGCTGTTGGGAAACCGCGCGAAAATGTTGTTACTCTTCGTTTCACCTATTATTGAGTCTCCTTATTTTCTAAACGTTGGATTCCATGTCTCATTTTTTGAAACGACATGCCTTTTCGTTTGATAGAGGCGGTGATGGAGGACCACCCTTGGAGTTTCATATTGGACCCATTATTAGGTCCATGGCTAGGAGAATGGAGGAAGATGAAGGAATGTCCACCCTCTAAGGTCACCATCTTGGCCTTGGCTAGGAGCTCCTCTTCACCATTGAACGTTTGATCATCCCCTTGGTGGAAGGAGTCCATCATTTGGTATCAAGAGCTTAGGTTATCTTTAAAGGTAACTAGCTTCCTTTCCATTTCTTTGAGTCTTTTCTTTTTTTGAGTCTTGATTTACGTCATCTTTGAGTTCATTGTCATCCATGAAAACCTTGTTAAAAATGTCTTCTTATGTTGCTCCATGGTTCATTACTTATTCATGAGCCTCCTTTTATGCTTTAAGGTTTTTCTTGAGTTTTAGGTTCTTGTGTGCCATTTTTGTCTTTACTCTTGTTGCTGGAAAAATATATTATGAACATCAAGAACATGTCTTCCATCTCTTTTTGATCTTTTTACCTTTAAAGTTTTGTCAAAAGTGTTTATCTCACCTTTCTCAAAAAGATAAAAAAATATATATGTATGATGCACCCATTTGATGTATGAAACCATGAAAATATGAAATGTATATGTTTTTCCATGAGGTGGCCAAAATTTTGCTGCACCATTTTGAGGTCATTCATGCATGTTAACTAGTCCTTGGAATGCTCCAAATTTGTGTTGAAATTTATATGTTATTTGCTTCCTACACATACATGATTGGCCACCTTTCCATGCTCATCATTACATGATTATTCCTTTGTGCACATGTGCGAGTGGTTAAATTTTGTGTGTGAGTGCTGGAATCTTTGACAAAAATCTGAACAAAAAGAAAGAATTAGTATAACACACACTCCACTCACAATATACCTTATCACCCACTCATGTGTTGCCACTTGTGTCTCTAAATTTGACTCCTTTATGTGCTGCATTTTATTCATCTACTGTAAAAACCAAGTAACATATTTAAAAGAAAATAGAAACAAAAACTGGACAAAAAAATTAGAAAAAAAAAGTGACCAAAAAGGCCCAAAAGAAAACAAAAGGAACAAAAAGAAAACAAAAAGGACTTGTTGTTAGACTTGTGAACTTGACCTAATTACCTTTGCACTTTGGAGTTGAACTTGGAATAAATTTTTGGACCTAATTTGAGACTCAAAACCGACGTTGGACCTTACCAAAAAGGACTTAGATTCACAATTGCAAAACCTTTAAAGACTTACTCCATTCT